TCTTAAGAGTTACAGATAGTTGTGAGCTGCCATGTGGGTGCTGGAAATTGAACCCGGGTCCTCTGGTAGAGCGGTTGGTGCTCTTAACCACTGAGCCATTACTCCAACCCCGTACATTGTGTCTTAAAGGATGTCTGTCCCTGTGAGAAGTCCATGTGGGTGTGTGCCTTTCACAGACCCAGAGAGGAGGTAACACTGTCACTAAGTAGCAGTGTCCTTTGCTGGCCTTCCTGGTAGTTTAGCGTATCTTATTTTCCATCCCGTATATTACTTGTTCTGGGAGAGCTGAACAAGAGCACGGTGTGCTCGTCTTTGTTCTCTTCCTATGGCAGAGGCCCTAGTACAGACTACCTGCAGTGATGGGCTTTGTCCTGAGACTAACATCAAGGAGCATTAACCAGGCCCAGTGGGGCCCTGTCTGTATGCAGGCTGCGGTTAGCAATGTTTCCATCAGCGATCTGTAGTGGCTAACGTGTACTCAGGCAATCTGGGGCAAGGTATTATTTACCATGCTGACGTCAATGAGAACATATTATCCACTGTCCTTTCTGCAGTTTGAAGTGAGCCTCAGAGCTCAGAGAACACAGCCACCTTCCACAGTGTGAAAACTCTACCCAGTACTCAATGAGGTGGAGACCTGCCTATAATCTCATTAGCCTGACATTCACATCACCAGGCTTTTAGAAAACAAGGTGTTTTTATTTTAATTCAGGGGGGTTGGAAACATAAAGACAGTACATTTTCCTTGCAGAAAATTACTCCATTTAAATTACCATTTGGTACAAAGATCATTTATTAAACTGCATTTTAGGCAATTTTCTAACACTGGCAGGTTACACTTGGATTTTCCACATTGGAGCTATTAGGATTTGCACTCAAAATACCAAAGCTATCGAAGTAACCAATTTTTTTTCTTAGTAATTAAAAAGCACACAGAAAAAAAAATGACTACAGTCAGATTAAGTTTATCGAAAGTAACTCACAGACCAAGCTGAACCCAGCAAGACCACCCCTTCCTTTCTGCAATAGGCAAATGGCCTTGCCTTTCTACAAAGTGCAGATAATCTCTGCCACTCACTTCAGCTGCAGTCTCCAAAAGCCAGCCCGCGTCCCTTTTTCTCGCTGCTGCTTTCTCCTCCACAGATTCTGGTAGAGGCAGATTTTTTTTTTTAAACCATGGGTAATGGGGTTGGTTGTTTAACCACTTGAATTTCCTTGACTGAGCAAATCCTGGGCGGGTAGGCATTAGTTATCTGCACTTTGTAATGTAACCTTACTCCATCCACGGGGATGTTATTTGTATTTCTATTTTTAAAGCTACCCCTACTCACCCATTTTGGTTCTGAAAAGACTTAGCCTTCCATTTTGTAATCCTGGAAGTGTTTAATAAGCCTTCCTACTTGGCAGGACTTTTGTAAAGAAATGGGCAGGGTGGGAGTGGTGCACGCCTTTAATGCCAGCACTTGGAGGCAGAGGCAGGCTGATCTACAAGTTTGAAGCTAGCCTGGTCTACAAGTAAACCAGGACATTGTAGGACAGTCAGAGCTACATAGTAAGACCCTGTTTCAAAAGACCATTAAAAAAAGAAAAAAATGTTCTACATGCCATCCCTTTAGGATAAAAGTCTGAGTTCATGATTCTCTGGGCAGCCATCTTCTCTGGGGTTGACTCTGTTGACTAAGTTTCCCCTTTGGCAACCAGGGAGGAATCCTTCTAATATGTACCTACAGAGAAAAAGCACCAGGCTACCTAACTCTGAATGAGCAGACATCCTTAATTTAAACCTAAACTTCCGCAATTTATTGGACAGTTGGATGTCCATCTGTGGTGTCTGTCTCTCCCCTCCTGTCTAGCGCAGTCACCTGGATAACTACACTTAAAGCCAGGCAGCTGTCAAGTCGGGGGTGGGGCTGTCTGGACAGGGCCTTGATTATATAGCTGTTTGCTTCTGAAAAGATGTGCTCTGAAGAGGAGGGGCTGTGGGACAGGGCTCCAACACAGAAGCACAGCCAGAAGCCAGGCGAAGGTGCTTGTCTCTGTTCCACCACTTCTGAGCCCTGTGACCTCAGCTAAGTCATGTATCCTTCGAGAGCTTTGCTCTCCCCAGCTGTGGGAACTACAGACCGCAGCTCTCTAGTTACTTTCACAGAAGTGCTCTGAGGAGTGTGAGAGCACACTTGTGAAAGTGCCTGGTCCGCTGCTGTGGAAATGGACAGGCAAGCTGAGAGGGCAGGACCTGCAAGCACCGTCCTCGGTGAAGTTGTTGGGCAGTATCCCTACCTGTCTGTCAGCGCATGCAGTCATGTCCCCAAATCTGCTCACAGGTAATGTGGACATAAGACGTGGTACAGCTAGGAAGGCTGGAGTCTTCTACAATCACCTGGGCTGTTGTAACTGGGAAAAATGCTAACTGAATGAGTGAGAAGATGCTGGGGATCGGATGGATGCTTTCGGGCCAAAGGACCCCTTAAAGGTCATGTTTCCTTCCATTTGCCACCAAGGGCAGGGAGAAAAGCCAGGAAGGCTCTAAGTTTCTGGGCCCCCAGCCAGGGAAGGGGTGTGTGTGTGTGTGTGTGTGTGTGTGTGTGTGTGTGTGTGTGTATGTGTGTGTAAGTTTTGAAGTGTGTTTTGTCCAGGGTTGAAACCAGGCCGATGAGACTGCTCTTTCCCCCACAAATCACTCTGAAGGGAAGTTCTGTAAAAAATTTCCAGAAGCAACAAAATGATAAAGATCCCTGCCTGGGCAATGACTCCAACTTACTACCTGTTCTCCAGTTTTTACCTTTGATGTCTAGGCACAGAGAGACCGAGCGGCTCGGGTGGCTTCCAAGGAGGCAGTAGCGGCAGCCCAGCTTAGGGGTACAAACGCAGCAAAGGTCAGCCCTGGCACAGGGGTTCTGCAACTGCCCACTGGGGTCAGTGTCATCAGTGACACTCCATACTGTCTAAAGGAGGAGGAATGGGAAAGAGTCACCTGGACTGTGAATTTTCTTTAAACCAACAGAGAGCTTAACTTACTGTTGATGTGAGTGTAAATGTGTAATCAGAGCAGAGAAACGCTGGCCCTCATAGATGTAAGAAACAGGCTTATTTAGAGGCTAGAGAACCCCAGAGACGAAGGAGGGCCCACTGGGTCCCCATGTCCTGAGCTGCTGGCACTCTTGGGGCCCTAGAAGCTGCTACTTTTTGGGGTTCCTTCAGTTTCTGGCTCTTCACCTTGTCACCTTCCAGCAGAGAACACTCCCTTTCCCCCAGTCCTAGTACCCTTCCCTGCCTTAGGTATAATGGCTTCTGGGGTACAGGTAGAGGCCTGTGATGAGTCCTTGCTGAGTGCCCTAGTACTGGAGTACTGGGGCAGGGCAGAGGGTATGGCTCCACAGCCTGGGTGGTACTGGGGGTATGGGCGAGGGCCCTATAACAATGCAGACTCAACTAAACACATTTGGAGGGAGCGTGGCAGGCAAAGGCTTAAGTCCTACCTCCCCAGCACCAGGCCAGGATTTAAACACTTCTGATCTTGATGTCTGAGATAGAGGGACCTTGGCCTTTTTTTTCCTAGGATGCAAAGTGAAAGGAAGAGCTTTGCTCAGACCAGCTCTTACATCAGTCCCAAAGGCTTTTCCTGGGGCCTCACTATCTCCCATTGGGTAGATTCTGGAAGGTGGTGGGGAAGGCAGTCTAGACAGGCCAAGTCAGGGCAGGGTGAGGGTTGGTGCTGGCCAGGCAGCTTCCTGGAATAGAGGAGGGGGACCCACAACCCATGGTCTTCCTGTTGTATTAACACCCTCTGTTTGCCTTACAGGGACCAGCATGTCAGTTGCATGTAAATACTAGAGATACACTTGCACAACTGGAGACTGCAGAACTAATGCATTTCCCCCAAAGCAGAGAGTGATACCCTGGGGAACAAAAGCCCATAACCAAAAATAAAAAAGTACCACACAGATTGCACTTTTTGCCGAATGAAAATTTTACCTCATGTTTGAATCACCAGTCTCTCTGGAGAGGCTGGTCTACAACGTAACAAAGCTAGGGGTTACTATACAGTAGTGTACACACTGCTGATGTGAACTGACAGGTGAGCACGTCAGGATTTCAAAGCTGCCTCTCAGCAAGAGTGGGCCTAAGCCTTCTTAGTGTTACTTTAGTACTTGTGAGGAGAAACGGCTTGGAAGCTTCCACGGTCACTAGTTAGGGGACAGCAACAGAAGCAATCAGATGAGCTGACCACCAGGGCTCATCTGCTCTTACCAGCTCCATCTCGGGAAATAAGGGTAGCCATGGAATTAGGGGTTTCTACTTGGAAGGAGTGAGAGGAGTGAACCGGAGCTGACGATGGGATCCAGCAGGATGGTTGGTGTTCTTCACCAGGCGACTGTCCTCCCTCCGCTGAGTGCCAGCGCCTACCAGGCTGGCTGCTGACGGGTGCTCCTCCCGGCTTCTCTCTGCAGCCTTGAACCTTCTGTCGGCCTCTCCGCAGCCCCTCATCTGTCGCCTAACTGTCCTGCCATAGCTGCTAGGTCTCCTGGGCTGAGCAGCTCACAGCCCTGTTGGGGGGCAGGGGTTTATGCCAATCTGTAGCGGTGCTGTTCCTGCAGTCCTGAAATGAGCGGCCCCCATTTTCAATCTGGAAGGCATTTTCATTTCGTCAATATTACAGCGCTTCTGCAGTATATTTTGGGAAAACATCCTCCTCCAGTCTAAACAAATCAGGCCCCGTTTTATAGCTGGCTTATGTTGTAAAGCTTTAAAACGTATTAGAGATCTTAATGAAATGATCTCTCAAATGAAATGATGTTCTTTATCTCACAAAATCATCGATCTTAAGCACGAGGAGGAACAGAATCAATAAAGAAACACAATTTATCATCCTTACTGGATTTTCAGTTATTAAATCACAAAAATGACAGTCCCTCCTGCTATCCATTCCTGCTGACACCCACAGCCCAATTCCAAGCAGAGCGCGTTTGCAAAGCAGCCTGGCACCAGTGGGGCCCAACAACTACAGTCTCTGGCCAGCCTCAAAGACACTGGAATCACCGCCACGGGCAGGGCTGGGCTGGTGGCCAGGATGGCTCTCCGTAGACTTCCCATGCCTAGTCTTCCCTTGCCTGCCTGGACACTTACTACAGAGAGGAAAGGCAACTTATAGGTGTTTCTAGATGCAGCATCAGTGCGGTAGCGCTCTCTTCTTGTGCTTTAAGGAAGACGCTTTGTGCTTAGTGAATTCATCTGCTGATAGGACAAGCCACTCTAAAGAATAGAAATTATAATTTTATAAATAATACTGAGTTTGTAACACCTAGATGTCACTGTGCAAATGACAGATTACTAATTACTTCTCGCTATCTATTGACTAGCTATAGCATCTACTTTTCAGTTCCTTTGATGATTGAATTCAAGGGTTAAGCTTTTCTAGTATATGGCTAACACATCTGTGGTTCTTTGAATATTGCTATAATACTTGAACAGTTCACACAAATCAAAACCTTAAGGAAATGAAGACTTCTGATTCCCACCTGGTGGAAACACACTGAAGTGACTTTGGATTCAGCAAGGCCATAAACGGAAAACTTGGTTTCTAGAGAAAAGGGAGCTGGACGCGGTGGGGAAGGCACAGCACTACCACTCACTTCACAGGGGCCAGGAAAGTCCAGTTTTGTGTACCCTTAAAAACATTAAACCCTACACGAAATTACCAACCAGATCTGCAAAGCTCCACAGCTCCTAACAACAGAGTGGAGAGCCAGAGGGATTACTACAGTGTAGCAGACAGCAGGTCTCTGGAGACTGCAGCCTGTGCAGGAAGAGCCTGGCTTCCCGGCTCAGGGCCCGACTTCCTGGTGCTTTCTGATTTCTACTTCCGCCTCCACTGGGACTGGCTCCTGTTGTCTCTACAGGTGAGAGGTCTGGAGCCCTGAGTATTTTAACACTCGGCCCCCATGGGTACTTTTGAAAAGGCATTATCACATGCTCCGAAAAAGATGACTGCAAGGTTTCAGGGGTCACTGTCAGCTGCTACTTGGTGTCTCTGAAACACACACACCTCAGGCTCCACTATGTGTGACGGTCTTGAGGACACCCTGCACCAAGAACTTAGGACTCTGTGACAACGCACAGCTTTCCTCTCCTCCCTGTGCATTGGGTTTCATGACGTATTCTCAACATGCACTGAAGCACTTTGCTGTTGCTTGGCTTTAGTGAAATATACTGCCTTTTCTTTTTCCCTGTGTGTATATATGCAACATACACATTTCTCCTGCTTTTACCAAGGCTTTCCTCGGACATGAGCGGGTGCAAACCTGGGTCTGTGTTGTCATTCTATACAAACAGTTGTTGGTCCCCTGTGAGAGCTTGTTTCACTTCATCTACGGGCATGCGCTTCAGCTCCCAACTATGGTCTAGCCCTTGCCACAGACAGTTTTGTGGTGGGACAGAGCCGAGAGGAACATCTACCCTAGTCAAATCCTGATTCCAGTTGGGAAACTTGATTTTTCCCCATTAGGGAAAAGGGGAAAAAAAAATCAGCTTTACATGTACAGAGCTGGAATAAAAATATAAACAGAGTCTGCCTTCACTAGAGCCACCTTACTTCCTGTGCTGAGATTAATTCACCAGGACATACCCATTGTGTTGTGGATCCACAGCTTCTAGCATTTCACAATCAAAGAGTCCAGGGAGCTCAGAGAGGGCCAGTGGGTCGTAGCTGGATGGGGTCTCCGGAAGTCCTGAGCTCCTGGGACAGTCTGCGCCTGTGAGGTTGCCCTGCTGGGCTCCATCTACCGGATAGTGACAGGGAGCAGGATAGTCTGGTGCAGAAGAGGTGGTGCTTGGTAGCTCACAAGTCTGATAGGAGAACTGTAAGGGGGCTGGAGCAGCTCCTGGCTGCTGAGGTGGAGGAGGAGGGGGTGGTGGGGGTGGCTGCTGCAATTGTGAGGGTAAGGGATGGGGAGCCCGGGGGCTGGGTGCGGAGGGCAGGGGCTGCAACTGCATCTCCCGGTACTGGCTGAGGAAAGGGCTAAATTGCATCTGCTCAGAAGAGGGCTCGAGGACTGGGCTCAGGGGCTGGCTTAGGCTGAATGGTGGGGGCTGCTGGGATGGCGGTGGAGTCTCCTGGTGGGGAAGAGCCAGCTGCTGACTTGGTCGAGGGTAGGTGCTCTCTGCTATCTGCATCTGATTGAAATACGCTTGCAGCTGAGACTGCTTCTGGAGGAAGAGGCGCTTCTGTTGGAGCCTAAATTGGTAACACCAAAAGAGCATTTTACATCTCAAGTGAATGTAATTTCAATGTAAATTCAATACCAGGCAGGCATTAACTTCACTTTCTCTTTTTTTCTTTTCTGTTTTATTTCTGAGAATGTTGTATATAGTCCAGACTGGTCTCAAACTTGTGATCTTCCTGACCTAGTCTCCTCAGTGCTAGGAATTCCAGGCATGCACCAGCACACCTGACACCCTCATCTGCCATCTCTTTCCCATGCAAGGGGGAAATCAGAGTAAGAATTCACCACTGTAAGAATTCACAGATTTATACTCTGGGTTTGCCCCTATTTGGCCTCTGAGGTAAAGGAGTAATAATGCATTTTCTCTCAAGTTTCTCCCTCTAGAGAGGCTAATTACTCATGAAGATTGCTCAGAAAAAGATAACATCTTGGCCTCTGTGAGTGTCCAGGTAGGGTGATGATTAGGTCAATTTTACCTTGGCCACGCAGCTTCTACTGGTTGGAGCAGTAGGCATGACCACTACCAAGGGGAAAGCCTCATCAGTGTGACCGACTGCTTCAGGCCACTGCTTCTGAAATTTTAGAGCTGAGCATAGCCCAGAGAAATACAAAGACATGGCAAAGTGCATAGAGGGTGGTGGTCGCCTGACAGATTTATACTCTAGGATTCTCAACCGCCTCATTGACACCATGCCTGACTAGAAAAGGACCTGGTACCAGTGCATGGTCCTAGGAGAAGCAGCTAGAATGGAAAGGACAATACACCAGCCTTCTCCAGGCTGCCATGGAAACAACTGACTTTACTGGCCCAAGACTTCCTTACCTATGTTCCTGTAGCTGCTGTTCCAGGCTCCGAGGTGGTTCTTTACAATATATTGGACAAGTATTCTGGGCCTTTGGCAGAAGATTGGGCTTCTGGAAGATCAGAAAAGCAACAAGAGTCTAACCATATGCTACCAGTTGGATGCCTGTCTGGCCAATATATCCAGAGTGAAGGCACTGACCCTCTTTCACTAAGACCTGGAAGAGCATCAGGTGCCAGGCCTCAGCATCTGGTTCTGGCCTACTTGTTCACTAAGACCCTGGAAGAGCATCATCAGGTCAGCAGGCCTCAGCATCTGGTTCTGGCCTATTTGTTCTCCACTTATGAAATTCCTCCAGGACAGGTAAGTCCATGGAGAACAATGAGAAACCAGACTTAGTTCTTGACAGGAAGCCCCAGTGCCTGCTGGGTGATTCGTTCTGAATGGGATCCATGTCATATCATTTCTTAGGCTCTTCATGCACCCGTGTAGACGGCTCTGTTAGCATTTTGTAGATTAGTGATCCCATCTTATTATTCACAAATATAAAATTAGAAACAAGCCAGGCTTCTCTCTTTTAGTACTCAGTGGCATATCCTTTCCTACTATCAATACAGGGCATAAAACTAAGTCTGAACATGTTTCTAGAAACTACTAATGTAGGGTTAAATCTACCTGCCTATGAGGAATAAAGCAGCAACCTTAAATAATGCAAAACAAGTTTCTGTGACAAAGTGAGCTGAACTAAGAGTGCTAAGGAGCCCACCTGGAGTCGATGCTGTAGGTACTGGGTTTCTAAGCTCTGCTGTGGAGAAAGTTGAGGATGCATGCTGGCAGAGAGTGTGGAGACACCTTCTTGCTGCTGAGAGACTTCCTCCTAAGGATCAAGGCAGTGGACATTACAATTTCTATGTGAGAAAGTTTCAATTCATAGTTTAAGCACCTTTGAAATGACTGAGTGAAATCTGGCTCCACATGACCTAATACCCAAAAAAGCTTTTACCTAACTAGTAGGTTGAAGGCCACTTTTCAGAGAGTCTATACAAAGTTAATAACTCAACTATTACCTAGTCAGTATTAGAATTAGAACAAAAGCACCTGCGTGGTATCACAAGAAGGCGCTTACCTATACGTGGGCCCTGAACACTGGCTCAAGAATAGCGACATTTGTTGTCTTTTTAATGTGATGAATCTTCATATGCAGTAGTGATTTCACATCAAAAGTAGTGGCAAGGAGCTTCTCATTTGGTTGATGTTCATCATCGTGTGTGTGTGTGTGTGTGTGTGTGTGTGTGTGTGTGTGTGTGTGTGTGTGTGTGTGTGTGTGTGTTTGGGGGGGGCGTCAAGGGAGACTGAGTCATCCATCTATAATCTGCCTGCTTTGGGAACCCAAACTGGACTGAGCCTCTAGGCCTCTGTCTGGTGCTGAGTACCTGGGAGCAGCATGGTTGGGTTGAAGCTGTTAGTGACAGCAGCAAGAACACCTGAGACCTGGGGCTTTCCCATAAAGCCAGCTTAGTTAGGACTAGAAGAAAGCTCTCTAACTGAGAACCACACATCTGCAGGACGAATGTGGTGTTGGTAAGAGCCTGTACACTCACCTGAGGGCAGCTGCTAGAGAGGTCTTGGAGCTGAGGAGCAGCTGATGTTAAGTTAGGGTCTGCCTCTGGCCCTATTTGTTCATAGAGCAACTGTACTTTGTTCAACTCCAGAATTCCTTTGGTTCTAGCAAGATTCTGAAGATGTTGTCTAAACGCTACAATTCCTGCAAAGTACAAACATCAGTTTAAGAAGCAAAATAGGTCTTTTGGTTATCATACATTCACACTAGCAAGGCAACATCCTTCTTCCATACCTCTGATTGAAGTTTTCAAAGCCAGAAAAGAAAGCACTCACCTTGGGTAAGGGAAGTGTCTGATGCTCTGCGGCCTTCTCGGAAGCTCACAGGGGACCGATTGTGGACCTCACGTTTCTGTGAGCTTAGAGCCTGCATGGCTGGGTTGGTAGGTCTGAGGCTTATGAAAGGAGATGTCATACGGGGTGAAGGCTGATTAGCTAACATGATGTCCTTCAGGGAAGGGCTGTCTTCCAGAAAGTTCATGTCCCTCTGAGCAGACCCCATATCGTACTCAGAGTCCACACTGTCAAGGGAGGGGTTGTCACTCATAGAGAAAATTTTCCCTGTAGAAGAAAATAAAACAGATATTACCCAAACCAATAGCATCTTCTTTAAACACGCTAACAAAAAGCAAGACAAAATGGCAGACTCTAATCCTGATAGCCACATCTTTCAGGATGGGCAAGAGGACTGGAGTACTCACAAGTCTGGAAAACAGAAAACTCACCTAAAAGATAAGTTCTTTTCAGGGCTGGGAATCCTAAGTGTAATTCAGGGGCAGAGGAGTTGCCTAACGTGCTCTCCAGCACCACAAACAATTCCCCCATCTTTCCACAATGCTTTTACTGGTTAGTTTAAGCATCCTCAAAATTGGTAAGGAAAACCTTATGGAAACTATAGCCATAAGATCTTGGCCTCGAAGAGAGCCATAATCCCTTATATGAAGCACACCGTATCCAAGGCATCCTGGAGTAGAGGGAGTCAACTCAGAGACATTGCTTTTTAATCTCTGTCAGCTGTTGAGTAGACCTAATCCACAGAGTCCATGGATCTGCTCCATAAAGGAAGGAGAGCTGCATGAAATTCCAGAACCTGGTGAGAATGGCCGCTATTTCTTGATGCCTGAAGTATGGAATGATGCTGTAAGGGTTTAACTTGGTGCTTCTCTGATACCATACCTGCCCCAGGCATCACAACCAATTGGTTAGTCACTTCTGACAGAGTGTGCCGTCGCTGCCCACTCCGTGTGGCCTGGAAAGCTTCAAAGGCCTGACTGGGATCTTCCTCTCCTTCTGTCTCTAATCCTTCATCAATGGAGGTCTCCATCATATTGCTGGGCAGTGACTGGCATCCCTTCCTCACCAGGACAGGGGGCACAGGGTCAAGCAGACAGCCATTCACCTGTCAGTAAGAGAGGAAGCTCAGTTGCTGCTCTGCTGAGGGACACCCACAGCAGAAAAACAGGCCAAGACTTAATTCAGGCAAGTGAGAAATAAAGTAAAATATTCCAGTGTATGCATTTACTCCCAATGGCAGCACAGACATTAGAAATAAAGGCGTCAACTAGAGCGCTCAGAGACAGAAGCCCCTGAGGACCCAAATTGGCACTACCACTTTGAGTCATTGTGACAATAACCACGTTTTCAGTGGTTTCCAGATGAATAGGATGTGCTGGCTTGAGGCTTACCAGTCATTACTCTTTTTTAAATAAGGAAAACAGAAGAAAAAGGTGAACTTCTTTTCACTTCTAGAGCAAATGTCTCATAGCTGAGAGAGAACAGTCACTGACATTCTAATTTTCAACCACAAAACATACTGGTTCTGGGTATACTTTTATATTCATAACTTAAGTACTCAACTATTTGATATTTTGTTTTTAAACTGGTTCTAATGTGCCCGAGGAGTGGAAAGTAAGAATTTGTTGTAGACAGACAGATACCACAAAAAGGATTGAAAAAAATTCAAATGGCAAACAGCCAAAACCTTCCATTATAGAATAACAAATGACTCACAGCTCAAAATTCCAGCAGAGGTTAATCAGCCCCAGTGCACGGACTCCTCACCCACTAGCAGTTCACACAACGTCTACGGTGCCTGTCTCAGAGGGAGAGCTCGGCACAGATCCTGAATGAGCACACTGCCTTCCCACACAGTTGCCAAGCAAACCACCTAATGGCCAGCAAAACAGCACACAAAAGGGAGTTGTGGTTTCAAGTTCTGGCTGGTAAAAGCCCCAAAGAACAGGCAATTATTTACCTCATTACTTTAACTATTCCCCTGTGGAAATCAATCCGCTTTCTCCTAGGAATAGCTGCTCAGGAGCAGCCAGCAAAGGAGTCAGTTCTCTGTGGTACTTTCAATTGGAACACACTGGGTAGAGCTATTGTTTCCACTGAAGCAGGGGCAGCTCATCTCTGTGAGAAGTGACGTGGGACTGCTCTGGGCAGTCAACGAAGGCATTGCAAGGCCCTTTTTTTGGAGAGGGAGAGGGTGACTCAGAGCTTTGTCTGTTTGGAGGAGCTGACTGCACAAGCATCTGGAGCTAGAGCCTTCATGATGGGAAGGTAGCTGATACGTGGCCGATGCTTTCTCCCCAGACCACACAATTCTCCAATGGCACAGAAAATGGGAAATCTGCAATCTGGCCAACAGCTGTCATTCTCTTCCTGGCCCGGGCCAGATACCTGTCTCCTTTGTATTTAATAAGTTTTCTTACAGGAAAGAATGGCCAACAACTCTTATTCTAGGCTCCTTAGCTGTCCACTGTCAGCTTGCTAAGGCTCTCAAGACCTTTTAAAGCAATTACTCCTGAGCACACTTATATGTGCAGTCTTTGTCAAATGCCCCTCCCACGCCCTGTGGTGTAAGCAGTATGAGCAAGCTCTTTATTTCCCTCAGCACAGAAGTCACCTTGTCCTAAGTTAGCCAAACCAGCGAGCTCCCTGTGAATTTATAATCTTGTAAACTTATCGTCTCATCTAAACCACAAGAGGAATTATGTCTGAATAAATTCTCTTCCAGGTATACAGCAATGGTTGGATTTTTCACTGATCAGACTTTTCATCTGGGGACAGTTAGAAAAACAACACTTGGGGGCTGGAGAATCTGTAAGAAAGCCCATGGGGTGGCTCAGGGTCAACACGGGTGTGCACCTTTGGCCACAAGGTTTCCTGAAGCAGCTGACCATCATGCTTAACTAGGGTTTCTACTGCTGTGGTAAAACACCAAAAGTAACTTGGGGAGGAAAGGATTATTTGGCTTCCATATCCCAGGGCACAGTCCACTGAGGGCAGCCAGGGCAGGAACCTAAAGGCAGGAAGTGAAGCAGAGGCCACAGTGGATGTTTTGCTTGCTGGTTTGCTCCCATGGCCTGCTCAGCCTGCTTTCTTATAACATCCAGCTACCTGCCCAGGGTGGGACGGCCTCCAGTGAGCTGGGCCCTCCTCCATCAATCATTAATAAGACAATGTTCCACAGGTCAATCTGGTGTGGGCATTTCTCAACTGAGGTTCCCTCTTACCAAATGACTTGACCTTGTGTCAAGTTGACAAAAAACTAACCAGGACAGCACCCGTCCAATGTACCCAGTGACTTGACAGTAAGAGAATCCAGGTAAGGTTTCCCCTTTAGTGTATTTCACTGTCGTCCTGTGAGGAAGAAGGACTGAGAATTCACACTTCTAAGCCCCTTAACCATGTGGGCTAATCTACATAAATTACATAAGCTTCGAGAAGTAAGAATTTATGCTCTAGAAATACTTTAGACAGAGTAAATGACAGGTTATCAATACGTGGGCAAAATGTAACCCTTTGTCTTTCAGAGACCTCATATGCACTAGATGACACACGTCCAGCAGTCAGAACCCTCAGAGGCCCCAGCACTGACTCAAAGTCCCTGAGCCTGCCTCTCTAAATTCCTATGTTGGCCTTAATTCCCAAAGTGACTGTACTTGGAGATGGGGCCTGTGAGCGAGGGAAGCCCTGACCCAATAGGATTAGTATCTTTCTACGAAAAGACACATGGAGGGCTGCAGAGAAGACAGAGCAGCAGCTAAGCTGGACATTACTGCTCTGCAGATGATCCAAGTTTGGTTCCTTGACTCATGTCAAGAGGCTCACAACTGCCTGTAACTCCAACTCTAGGGAATCTGACACCTCTGACCTCCGTGGGCACCAACACTCCTGTGCACATACCCCCAGAGACACATACTCATAATTAAAAATAAAAGAAGAAAGGACACATGAAGCCAGGCATGGTGGTGCACACCTCTAGTCCCAGACTCAGGAGGCCAAGGCAGGGAGGTTACGTGTCTGAGGCTAGTCTGAGCGTCACAGTGAGATCCTGTCTCAAAAACAGTGAAAAAGAACAGACATCACAGAGCTTGTTCTCAGCTGCCCCTGGGTACACAGGAAAAGCTATGTGATGTCTCAAGACAGAGTGAGAAGGTGGCCGTCTATAGAACAGGAGGGAGACTTCATCAGAAACAGGACCAGCTGGAACTAACACTATCATGCCCTCTGGCCTCCAGAACTCTGAGAAACAAACTTTCTGTTGTTTAAGCTCCTGAGCCTATGCTATTTTGTGGGCAGGTGAGCAGGTTCATACAGTCCACCAAGCATATTACAAGCCATGAGTCTGGGGCAGAGAAATGGACCTTACTGAATTGCATTCCATGTGTCTGGCAAATGTAGCACATGTTGAGCAGGTGCTGTAGGCTCAAACCTGAACTTGATCATTTACAAGTTAGGTGCTTAGGCTCTGACCAAGCTCTGTTTTTGTTTTTGTTTTTTCTCACTTGTAAAATAGTTGTAAAGCTGTTTTGAGAATCAACTAACATAATTTAGAAAAAATATAATTCCTTTACAATACACTTTATTTTTTTAAAAAAAGGGGAGTGCTTTTCAATAAGAAAGTGTAAGAATAAAACTACAACACTTAAAAACGCACACACACATTTTTTTTCCTGCCTTGAGGCACATTACACAGGTGAAGAAGGAAAGAAAGGAATCACAGCAATGCTAGAAAACGCCTTTAAAGACGCGGCTTTGCTATGGAGCCCCGAGCGCCTCTGTACTCCTGTCCTCTTGCCTCCTTCTACTCAGTGCTGGTTATATGCGCACTCATACTTGGCTTAGAAATGTATTCTTAAATAATATGGCATAAAAATTAAAGATCTGTACATAAAATTATCTACCATAAGTCTATTTAAGGATGCAAGAAAAAGCTGTGTTCAAAAGGGGCGTTTTGTTGTGGAATATTACATTAACTAGGCAAAGATGTGTTCCATTTGTTTATGCTGTGGAATATTACTTTAACTGTGTGAAAGTGTGTTGCATTTGTTTGTGCTGCATGTGTTTAATTATGTAAAGATGTGTTGCATTTGTTTCACCTTGCCTGCCTAAGGTACCTGATTGGGCTAATAAAGAGCTGAATGGTCAATAGCTGGGCAGGAGAGGGATAGGTGGGGCTGGTGAGCAGAGAGAATAAACAGGAGGAGAAAGCTAGGCTCAAGTAGAAAAAGAGGGAAGGAGGAGAGAAGAGAGTGAGGGAGAATAGGAGGGACACACCCAGGACCAGAAGCCAGGCAGTTGTCAGCCAGCCAGACATGAGAAGCAGGAAAGTGATATGTACAGAAAGAAAGGTAAAGAGCCCTGAGGCAAAACGTAGATGAAGAGAAACAGGTTAAGTTATAAGAGCTAGCAAGGAATGAGCCTAAGCTAAGGCTGAGCATTCACAACTAATAAGAAATCTCCACGTCATGATTTGGGAGCTGGTTGGTAGCCCAAAAGCAAAAGCCTACTACAGCATTTAGTTAAAGAAAGAGATGTATAAAGCAATGGATCACATAATTGCTAAGGCTTATGCCTGCAAGACTATGTCACGACTGGGAAAAATTCTCATGATATTGTTAGATACAAAAGATAACAAAATTACACATAATAGAGAATAATTTTAAGAGTCTTCCCATCCAGTAAGCCTTATTCCTTACCCACCAATTTATAGTATGACATCAAATAGGCTATCTTTGAGTAGTGAGATTATAGCTCAATTAATTTTATCTTCATTCTCTTCATATTGTCATGCATGATTATGACAGTTTTATTTTTGTTTTTATTTCAAATTACGATTTAAAATTTTAAATTCAGAAGCGAAAGTGAAATTTCTCCCAGAGCCGCTAGAGGTTAACACTACTACGATTCTGGTGAGTCTGCCTTTCCGACCTTCTCTCATGTCTGCCACCTTCATAATGCAGAGTATTAAGGTGCAATTGGACACGGAATGCCTCCACCACACTTGCATTTTCAAGGTTTATCTTACAGGTTTCTTGTCAACCGGCTAGTGAAGGTGTGAACTTGGAAATCTTTTTATTATAGTCCCTAACAGTGTTACAAATGGACTGAAATGTGTGTGCATGGGAGAGTTACTCTACAGTTTGCTCAACTGTCTTCCCTCTATGGCCTTGTGTCCTTAGGGATTCAGTTACTTCTCAGAAAGACACCTTCTCTCCTGCCCCAGAAACTGCAAGTCCAAGTTTCAAGACAGACTCCTTAAGAGATTTTCCCAACAATTAAGGGAAGGAGAGGTGATGTTTTTAAATGAGTACTAGTCCTTGACTGCAAGCAGAAATGGAATTATCAATACATACAGCTATGATGTATCTTTCAGAAAACAGCTGGGTTATAGTGAATGTATATGAAGCAATATGAACAAAGGAACTGAAAGGTTCTTTTGTGTGTGCCTCAAAGAAAGAGATCATTGGAAGGACATAATAAAACAATTCACAGTAAGTCCTGAGAATGTTTATGGCCTTTCTGAATTTCAGGGTGGAATTGCCAGTGTGGGGGCCAGTTCCAGTTTGACACTCTTATTCCTATAAATGAGAATATACCATCTAGCAACTGTCTATATCTTTTGCAAAACCATTCATTTCCTGTCTGTTTCCTAGTAACTGTAACAATCACAAGCTTTAAAAATAGCTTGCCCTATATATTATAGCAGACAGTGCCCAATCTGTGTTTTGGGCCTGGTGCCCTTACCGACAAGACTTCAACACACTGCATTTTAATTTCTTCAAGAGAATTAGATCTTAAAAATGAATTATGCTGCCCTAATTAATGTCTAAATGCTGAGCATGAATGTATCCCTAATGTTTAATGCTAAGCAAACAAAGCCATAGAAAACAGACTGTCTACAGGAAGCAGACTCATCTTTAGGGCTGGACAGTAACTATTCCTGTTGGGCAAGTTGGCTTAACACCTGCTCTGACAGTCTGGCATGGGGCTGCCACTGCCACTGTGCTCAAGCTAGTCTCATGCAACTTATGAATCTGCCTGACGTCCAGAGGTCTCAACTAAATGGCATTTCCTATCCCATCTGTCTAGGCTCAAAACCTTGCTGTAGGCTTGGAATTCTACCCTTTCAATACCATTGCTACGATCCCCTCATCTCACATTTCATAGTCATTCCCATATTTCAGGTCCTGCATCATCTTCCTCCTGGACCCATGCTTACCCTCCCATTTTTTTTTTGTTCCCTAGCCTGTGCCTGCTAGAGAATCATTCAGGCAAAATTTCCAAGAACAGGATGCATGCAGTGTTTCCTTGCTCTGTGTCTGACTATCACACCAGCTGTCTCACCTGATACTTCCCCACATTCCACACCTAGAACTCCCTAGAGACCTGAATTGTTTGCTTGTCATTCAAAATTAACACATACACCTTTACTTCTACAGTTTTCCTTTACATGCCCTTTCCCTCAAACTGAACCACTGCTCTGATTTAGATGAACCTGATTACCTAGAGCTTGCTTTTGAACACTTCTTCCTTTCACTGAAGATATTCCATCCTAGTTTCCAGACATGTGGATTCTACTCTACTCTGTAGCTCCAGCTTTGATAGTTACCCCAATTTTCCTGATCAAGTACAAAAATCAAATCCCCCTGACTCTTTCTTTTCTTCTTCTTCCTTTTTTTTTTTTTTTTTTGAGACAGGGTTTCTCTGTGTAGTTTTGGTGCCTGTCCTAGATCTTGCTCTGTAGACCAGGCTGGCCTTGAACTCACAGAGATCTGCCTGGCTCTGCCTCCCTGCCTTTTTCTAGGTTCACTTTGACTTACATCTCATTATGTGACATGTTATCAATTTATTCAGCAGCTGGCATGTTGTTTTAGTTCCATATAATATTCTTTTTGTTAGACCACAGTCTAGCAGGCTGTTAGGCAAGTTCATGTCTGATTCATGTTTTTATTACCTAAAGAGGCTTTTAAAACATGGGAAAACTATTTGTTGACTATTTAAAATCTACCCTAAACTACATAGATTATCTTACTTAATTCTCAAAACAGTCTCCGAAAACAAGTATCCTTGTTTTATACAGAGGAAAGTAAAAGTCACCTTGCCCAAATTCACATAGCTCAGTAAAAAGCAGTTTAACACACCCCAAGACCTATATTCTTTTATGACACTGTTTCCTATTAATATGATCATACAACATATAGCACTTGGTACTGAGTCTGTACCATTTATATTAGAAGTCAGAAACAATTCATCGCATGAAAGAAGCAGTCATCTTCCATTTCCTAACAGCCAATTTTATACAATACACAAAATACAAAGTAAATTCTTTAAGCATGCCCAAGCTGAACCAAAAAGGATGTTTACTTAGTCAAAAAGATATCCTATCGCTTTGTATTTACAATTTGCTGTGCAGAAGAGAGGCAACAATAACGAAGTCTAATTCAGCACAACAGGTGACTTTTTGTTTTTAAAATCATAATTTGTTAAGTCAACCAACCTACCTACCCACCCATCCACTCATGCACCCAAACACTTACGAGGAATCTTAAACTTGGGAAAGAAGAGGAACTGGTTAGGAAAAAGTAGAGGGCTTATGTATCCTGAGAGTTGTAATTTAATTGATGAGAGCTGATCTTTGAACATTTTAATAAGGTTCTTCACCAAAGCAACATGCAGTGAAAGCACACTACAATATTGTACACCACACTGAAGTCTGCAGCCACTGCACGCATCTCAAGCACACCAGCCATATGTACCTTAGGAGTATCCACACACTCTTCCTCCATAAAGGCAGCTTCTGCTTGACAGCTGGATGTTGGAAATGAAAAGGCCTCCACATTGGCTGCCTGTGGGAGGAGGGTAGATCGCATCAGTCTCACGTTCGGTGAGTGCAAGGTCACTGGGAGCCCCACAGTTTGTGCCTGAAAATGTGTCAAGAACAGACAGTGTGGGAACATTATTACTTACTCTAGACACATCAACACCGCTCTTAGAACTAAGTAAGTCTTCCTGAGGCAATTCAAAGATAAAGTGTTATTTACTGGAACTCCAGAAAAGACTTGATTGTGTGTGTATGTATGTGTGCATGCACATGCATGGTAAGCACTGAATTTAAGTCTCTGACACTCTGAAATAAATTGTACAGATTTGTTTCCTGTCTTATAATGAGAGATATACCTTTCACACACGCAACAAGATAGCCTTTGTAAGGAATCAAAGAATGATCTTTGTCTTGATTCAATAAAATTCTATTTTTTTCTTTCTTTAAATATACTAACTGAAAGATAAAAAAAGAAATCGCCTAGCCTATAGAAACTCAACAATGAACCAAGGCCAGATATACACAAGCCCCACAGCTAGCTATAAAGAAGGTACATGAAGTAATTGTCTTTTCCTACTTCTCCTCCCTGTGAGAAGAGGAAGGAGAGAGAAACAGTTACTCAGTGTGACAGGAAGGTCCCCTTCCTTTGAGGATGCAATCTGAATACAGCCTGCTGGAGCAACAGGAGAAATGCTTATTGCTAGAGTCCTCTTCCTGAAACCAGCCTGCTACACAGAGCTCTGGGTCCATTTCTGTTCTTCTCTCCTGTCAACTTGGGCCTACTGTTTCTACCTCTTACATGCTGGGGTTATAGGCATGTGCCACCGCCACCCTTAGCTTCAGTCCATTCTTCTGTCTCCTTTGTTAAGTGCTTTAAGTAAACAAGGATCACACTCTTCTTAAAAAAAAAAAAATCATTTAAGAGTCTCTCCTTTTGACAACTGGCAATGACTGATTTTACTGCTGAAGGTCCTGGATGGTCCTTCTATCCACCGCCCTTAAGAACTGGCAGAATAATTTCTTAGATATATCTTGAACATAATAGACACTGTGAAACATCCAAGGGGACAATCATCATACCAGATTCTAACAGGAGAGGAACAGCCTCTTTTTTTCCCTGTACAGTTACAAGGGATATAGGATGGTGACTTCTAAATTCAGACAAACAAAAGCACAAGACTGTTCTATTTCTTTTCCAAGGTTTGGGCTTGACTGGTGGTTCTATCATTTCCTATTGTACAATGACTTTAATCAGGCAATCTAGCTTTCTCTGAATCTTTTCTAACCCTGTGAAGATGGGGTAACACCTCAGCTTAGCAACATTAATTTCTCTGTCCCTTCCAGTCTTAAAATGACCCCGGCGGACAAAGCAACCAGACAGGAAGATGGATGAAGTTCTTTCTGGTCTCAGAGTCTCTTTGCTTTCAGCTGGAATTTTAAGCTGAATTTTTTTGTTGTTTGTTTCTGTTTCTGAGACAGGGTCCCTCCATGTAGCCCTGGAACTTGCTAAGTAGACCAGGCCCCCCTGGAACTCACAGAGATCCGGTAGCTTCTGTCTCCCGAGCACTAGGATTAAAGATGTATATCACTATGTTCAGCTAAATTGATAATTTTTAAGAAGGAAGGCTATGTTCTTACTATACATTTAAAAAATTTGAGTATACTTAAAACATACCTTATATAGGCTATATTCTGATACTAATATCATCAGATACAAAACAAAGAGAAAACAACAGCATACCATTAGTAGTGAGTGGATGGGAAACTGCAAACAACGCTACACATCATCTGAGCATGATAAAGGAGCCGCTATTCTACCAACATCCTTCTTGGGCTTATCTCTTGGGTACTTGGGGTGCTCTATCTTGGTCCTGTCTCCCTAGAATTCTGACTCTTTATGGTAGGCTGAGCTGTGTCAGATTAAGCATACATTTTCCTTGACAACTTTTTCTTTTGGAGACAAAGTCTTATTCTGGAGTTCCAGCTGGCACTGACCCCTGAATCCTCTTGCCTCAGGCTCCACAGTGCTAAGATTACAGGCACCCACCATCACACCTGGTCTCCTCTCCACAGTGCTAAGATTACAGGCACACATCATCACACCTGGTCTCCTCTCCACAGTGCTAAGATTACAGGCACACATCATCATCACACCTGATCTCTTCTCCACAGTGCTAAGATTACAGGCACACATCATCACACCTGGTCTCTTCTCCACAGTGCTAAGATTACAGGCACACATCATCACACCTGGTCTCCTCTCCACAGTGCTAAGATTACAGGCACCCACCATCACACCTGGTCTCCTCAACCACTGTTACATCTGAGAGACTACGGAAACGGACCAAGAACTTGGACAGAGGAATAACATTTTGATGTGACAATCCTAGGAAATACAATCGTGTTTTACAAGTCTGTGTGAGGTGACTGTTGAAGTCTTTCAGAAGCTGAGATGTGATGTGGTTGAGGATTTGACAAGGACATACAAAACCCTGGGTCAATCCCCAGCACTGGTCAAAAATACCCTTTTGGAATAAGTATGGATATCAACACACAAAGGTATTCTCAAATTATAAAGGTGATGAGATAATGTTACTATGGTACAGGCACATACTACATGGCTGGCTGGTATTCTCATAAGAAAAGGAAGAGGCACAGCAGGAGGCAGCCACCTACTAGCCCAGAAGAGAGATTGTGCTAGAAACTCACCTGAGGGCACCCAGATCTCATGCTTTAAGCCTCCAGAACCATGAGAATGTAAATGCTGATCTGGCAATTTGCTATGGCAGTCCAAACAAATTAAGATAAAGCTTTGTCCTATGATTGTGGAACAACCTCTAATCAGCAATTCAAGAGCATAGATGACTGTTTCATTCTCTTCTTCTTAAAGCTGATACAAACTTGAAGTAGAAAGATTGTTAAAAACTAGAATTTAGGGTTTATGAGAAAAAGGTAAGAGTTTTCTTTTTTCTCTTAGATAGTTGCCTGAAGCCGGTCAGTTGCAAAGTTTTTGGCATGATATGCAGTGAATGAAAAGAACTCGCCACCCACATACAGTGAGCAGCTCACTGGTGTCTACAAATAATAATAATGGGCACTCCATCACTAGATAACGACTGCTTTATGAGCAAGGGCTGGCTCCTTGGTACTTCAGTGGCTGCGACACTGCCTAGCAGATGAGAACTGTACTTTGCTGAATGCAACTGTTTCCACAGCTTGACTAATTTATTTTGGCAGCAATCTTATTAAGCAGGCACTATTTCCCCTTTATATTTATAGACATAGGATCTCAGAAATGCTGACCAGAGCAAAATCACTCATCTCTATATGGAACTCCAGGTCTACATGATTCTATAGTTTGTATGACCTCTGTATTATTAGATCATGCTGCTTCCTGGTTTGGTTTTGTTTATTGCTATGCCAGGGAACAAATGATCTACTCTCTCTTTAAATGAAAATTGAAAGCATTAAAACAAGGAAGTTCTATTAAAACTTTAAGCATATTTACATCCAAATAAACAGAGAAATCAGTTTTTTTTTTTTTTTAAAAAAACAAGGCACACTAGAACAGAGGGCAGGGAGCATTTCTTCAGCTGTGGGGCCTCCTTTTTAGGGTCCAGAAGGTACTTTCAAGAAGTTAGTATGTGAGCTGGGAAGCCGTCTGTTAGAATTAGACACATTTGAAGTCAGTATGCACAGTTTGATGCTGACTTGGGCCAATGCACCCAGTGAAAAGAACCTGTGTTGTGCTTGGCAGTAAACAAGGTTAACAAACAAAAGAAGCCACGTGCATTATACATCTGCACCCCAAGCCGAATTAAACACAATCTGAGGTATCTGAGGGATTTGCTTACTGTGCAGAAAGGAAAGGGTCTTGTCCAACAACACACACTGGTGCTTAGAAACAACTGCTGATCTAACCCTTCCCCACTCTCCCTTGTGGAGTATTTAAGAGGAGTAAAGAAACTTAGCTGGCAAAGTGTTCCTGCACTAGGGCATCCTGCTTCCTGTCATTTGTCGGTCAAATGACAAATGACTTGTATGGAAGGGCTCACTACAGCTCACTATTATCAACACAGCTTAGGAGTTCTTCTTCCCTTGCCTCGTGTTCAAAAGCAGTGCCATTCCATTCTGAAGGTTCTCAAGTGCTCAGGAATCCTCTGATCCAAATGTCTGAGCTATACTGGTATAGGATCCCCTCACATTTGTATTGAGACATTATTTTATTTGTAAGATAGTTCAGAAAAATATATAATTCACCCATTAGAAAGAAATCAAGAATTTTCATTCATTTTTTTCATGTTCTGTAGAAGCCAATGCAAAATCTTATATTCCTGTACATTTATAATTCTGTTGAACATGGAGCACTACTTACAGACGTGGCAGGCATCTTTAGGGAAGAAACCACTCCTTTCCCAGCCTCTACACACGAGTCCTAGACCTCTCAGACCACATCACTCCCTAGCACCAAGCAATGTCTTCACTGTACCCTCAGGCCTTCGAGGAGAATGTTGCCTCTAACTGTTGTGGAACAGATACTCGGCATTTCTATGTGCCAGGTACCGTTTACAGGCTTCAGAGATAGCAACTCATTTGTCACAGCACTTAGTATCATTCCCATTTTAGAAGAGGTAAAGTGAGGCACAGAATCTGGAAATTGCTCCACTGTCCCATTTTTAACCACTAAGTGGAGCTGCACTTCCAATCAGTGCTAAGCTCATATAGGTCCACCTTTCTTAGCCCTTCCTCCCTTCCTCCCAGCACCACATTAAGTTTTCAGCATTCTGCATCTCAATTAGTGTAAGAATCTCGTAAGTATTCTTCAAAAATTTCTGCTACTCCTAGGTTGAGCATGGTGGCATATGCCTTTAATCCCAGTACTTGGGAAGTACAGGCAAATGGATGTCTGTGAGTTCAAGACCAGCCTGGTCTATATAACAAGTTCCAGGCCAGCTAGTGAGATCCTGTCTCAAAATAAACAACATACCCCCTCCCCACCAGCTCTTCCCTACCAAGCCATCCTTTCCAATGCTCCCATACTAACTGGCTTATGGTCTTCATAAGATCATGTAGAGAGCCATGCACGGCCGCGCCTCAAAGATGGCGCCAGCGTCCGGCTTCCGCCTTCCCGATGGCAGGTGTTCTCTGGGATAAACAACTCCTTATTTGGCTTGGGCATGGAATCTGGCTTGCTTGCGTATGTCTCACCCTATCAGCATCGTCCACGTGGCACTACGGGGTTGGTTGCCCAGTGGCTATAAAGGGCGTGGGCTGGCTTTCCCCGAAGTCAGAAGATGGCTTTCCCCGGGGTCAGAAGATTGTTCAAGGTTCCTGAATAAACTGCTTGGAGAAGAGCCTGGTGTTGTGTCTTCCTTGCTGGTCGAGGCGGACGCGACAAGATCATTATTGCTTCCTCAATTATAAGTCATTCTTGGAATTTAGAGCTCTTCACAATACGGCTTCCACTTATACTCCAAATTTTTATTTCCTTAGACTTCAGTCCAAATGGACTGAACTAATAGGAACAAGGCCTACAATGGCCCATGTGAACACCTTTGTTCATCTTGTGTGCGTCTCCTTCCTAGTCAGAGTGTCTTCAGTATTTTATGTCCTATCATAGTCTCACACCTCTATCTGTTCTGAAGGATGGTTCTGGTTGTATCTTATTTTGCTTCTACAATACAGCTCTAAGAACCATGATGGTGTTCTATGCATTCAAACTCCTAGAATGCATGCACATGGTCAATCTGTAATAAAATTCTGTTAAATGAACTGAAAGTACAGGCTAGTTATATTAATTTGCAAGATTAGCAAATGATTAAATGACAAATTATCTCTTAAAAAAAAAAAGAACTGAAAATAAAGTTAATCCTTAAAAGCAAGAGGGTGCTAAGAGTTTTGAGAATCTGGTGAATGGCAGTGGTTGAAACATTCTAGAAAAACACTGTAGAAGATGAGGTCTTAGCCTTTTGTACCAAATGATGAAAAATGTGTCCGACATAAAAAGGTACATGCACAGACGAGACCAGTGGCTCTGCGGGCCGTTACCTTGGCAACAGTTTGTTCCGCAATGGTGCTAGGCCGGCGCTGGCGGCCATCAAGTCTCTGCTCCACAGGAAAACTGCTCCTATGTGATTTCAGACGTTCCACCAACAAGAAATAAATGGCAGCAAAGTGATTATAGCTCTTGTTTTGCAAAGACTGAAAGAGAAAACAGGTGTTGAAGGCAAAGAACTATAAAAACCAACTAAGGAATCTATACTTTTTTAAAAGGAAGGGTAAGGTATGTACCCTGAAAATAACATCACAAAACCTCTGTCTCTGTGCCCTGTCTTCTGAGAAGTGAAGAACAGCCTCTGCCACATGTCCCTGCTGCCAGGATGTTCAGTTCAAGGACACAGGACCAAGTGAGCCCTCCAGATGAATTTCCACAATAATTTTGGCTTGAGATTTTAGATCTGTATTTTCATTTACTTAATTTTAGATACTAAAGTACTTTAAAAAAAATACAGTAGCAAAGCATACTTCACAACAAACCCTTTCTGGAATTCAGACAGGAAGGCATACAATTCAGGTCTCTAGTATCACTCTATCAATAGTGACATCTTTAAACAACTGTCTGATCCTATTTCTTGGTTTTGGGATCCATTTATCTTTCTGCATTAGGAGAAAATACCATGAATGCTTCATGTAGACATTGCCAGTGCTGTGACATCTCACAGCACTAAGTGTAAGGCTGGTCAGCACCTGTGCCCCAAAGTTCTAACTCTGTAGCTTCAGGCAAAGTTCAAATCACTGACAACTCTGAAGAGAATGAGCAAAGCCTTTGCAGAGCTTTCTGGTGATTATTTTGGGCTGGAGAATGACATCTAGATGCTAGATGGAGAGACACTGTGTCTGTGTTCTTAGGTAATATTTTCCTCTTGTTTTTGCAGTCCCACCCTTTGGAAACCTTGAAAACAAACTTGCTTCCCAAATTTCTCACATCACTAGCCTGCCAGCTTTCCTGGGATGCCAATGCAACAGAGGAACTACCTCTCTTTTGGTTTCTAATCCCACCTGACAATCCACATGGGTGCTGTATGGGGTAACACGGATCCAGGACACCATCAGGGCAAAGAAAAACCCACGGGCCAGAGGGACCTCACAGAGGCTGCCATCCAGGATCTATTCCACGGATAAGCATGGGAAAACATCACTGAGTGCACAATGCACAAAGTGAGACAACAAGCTTGGTTTTGCTCATGGCTACAACAGGAGACAAGAAACAGTCTCCACGAAGGCACTGCTCTGCTTTGCTGGGGCTATTGTGCAGGTACTGCGTATGTTCTACAGGCATGCTAACCATTAGACAGAAAAACAAACAAACAAACAAAAACCAAAAACAGCCAAGAGTAAATTTCCAAAGCTTTCTTTGTTCTATAACCATTAATATTTCCAAATCATAAACTCACTTGCTTCGGCCTGTTTCTTGTCTCTGGTTCTCCTACACCCCACTGGCTTTCTTTAATCTGATGCTTTCCTATTGGCTCTTGGCTCAGCCCTTAGTCTTTATTCCATAGATGTACGTTTACAGTCCCTATAAACTAGTTTCATACCAACATGAAATTTCATGTTTCACTTTTGAAGAAACATTGTATTCTTTGGAGATAGGGTCTCACTATGTAACTCTGACTGTCTTTAAACCCACAGAGATCTGCCTGCCTTAGAGTGTTGGGATAAAAGGTGCACAACACGATGCCCAGCCTCCTCCATCTTGTATTTTTAAGCTTCAGTCTTGGCCTTTTCTGCATCCTCTGAAAATTCTGTTCTTGGACTTTTTGGCAGAGAGGGTGAAGGAAGGAGTTTAGAGATTGAATAACAGCAACTGTAAACAGAGCCTGATGTAATCATCAGGAAACCCTGAGCAGTACACCCAGGCATTGGAATGTGCTGAAAGACTAGGGTGACAGATGCAGAAGAACCTAAAATACCTCTAGACACATCTCCATCACTTTACCTCAATTGTTTTCTGCTGATCAATTCCAAGGCTGTGCATCAATCGCAGAACCTGCTCATTAAATTCTCCGATGGACGGCTCATTTTCTTGTTCTTGTGGATAGAGAATAGGTCTTTGCACAGGAACTTCTATGAGCATCCACTTGTGCTCCTTGATTTGAGCTATGCTTAGCCGTTTGGAAGGATCTAGGACCAACATCCTTCTAATAAGGTGTTCACACTCTGTGGAAAGCACAACGTTAAAAAGTCACATAGATCACCTTCAGGTATACTTGCACGGCCCATGTGACTTTGCACAACAATGTTAATCTATGTAGTCTTCACTGGAAAGCAGGGCCAATGAGCAAATGAATACATGAGGGGTAGACTGGTTAAGTTCAGATGTTGAGCAAACAAACCCAGGTGAGTATACGTCTGTCTGTGTGCAAATAGAGCCTTTCTAGTGTAGTGCATTTTATCTAGTCACACTTAGATTTCCACCAATGAAAAACAATCCTAAGCTTCATTCTCAGAACAAGTATTATGAACTGATCCTCGGTCGCATAGAGGTTATGTTCAGTAAAGGCAGCTGGGAGAGCGCCATGCTTTCTCCAGGGAGCTGCTGCTTTTCTCATCGGTGGGTGCTGCCGAGGACTATGTGTGAAGCTCTGCTTCCGTTACACTACATACAGTGCAGCTGCAGCTCTGCTTGACAGCAAGCTCTTCACCACCCTTCTCCAACTCAGCCTCCTGCCACTCCCGTCCATCAGGCCCTGTGCTAAGTGCTTTGTGCAGAGTAATTTCATCATCCTTACAACACCTCCAGGGTAGGAACTATTATTGCTAACTCCACTTTACAGATGAGCGAGAACTGCACAGCCAGTGAGTTGTGAACTCACGATTCCAACCAGGCAGTCTGTCTCCAGAGCCTAGGTGATCTTGCCTTCCCAAGTGCATTAATTACGTCTACTGTTTGCAGGAGTAAGAGATAAGGATGAAAACTAAAGACACAAATAAGGAGTAAATCAAACTGTTGTCTGTATGACGACCCAAAATAAGACAGGTAGGGATTGTGGCATTTCAATTAAATTTATCCAAGTCCCATCAGTTGACTTGGAATTGAAAAACTTTTAATTTTGCATATCTATTTCATACATAGAGTAAAATAGTTGTAAGCCTGTATCTATGGAGTCTAAAATAAACCAGACATTTATAGACTCAAGCTGAATGGGAAGACTTGCTGCTCTTAATCTGGGTAGCTTCTGTTCTCAGTTATAAGGAGGAAGGCTGGAACTTGTCTGGTCTACATGGAGGGTGCTGCAGAGCCCCATGGTTTTTAAAATGACTCAGTCATTTTCTCTGGCACCCAAACTCTCAGAAGGGATACTTTGGCTAGGACTTCATACAGCACAAACTCTGTAATGCACAACTAATATGAAGAACAGCTTGTTACCTTCTGACATGAAATATGGAATCCGGAATCTTCCTTCCAAAACCCTCTGCCTCAAAATAGGGAGAGTTGGTCCATCAAAAGGCAGAGCTCCACAGACAAGGACATAAAGAACAACTCCCATGCTCTAGGGAAGAGAACGATGCAGTCACTTTCAGAGAGAACTTCAAACACTGATTTCCCAAACGCTGCCACAGCTCTTAAAATCACATGGACTCCTGTCCAGAACTCCCATCTCACCTCCTGTGGTGAGAGTAAGCATAATAAATACCAAATGATCTGAATTTTATCATTTTGCTCACCACTTTACTTCAAATCATTGCTGCTAGGATGATAACACTTGTCTTTAGAAATTCTTTCCTAGGGAATCCATTTCCAGATGCTCTGACTAATTACAGTCCATTGGATGGGGAGAATATGAAATCTTATTCATATATTGAGTACCAGGAACTTCTACGATAGGTCTGAGTACCAGTCATCATGATAGATACATTTAACATATCAAAGCAAAGCAATACCCATATGTCCAGCTGTGGTCCTTCATAGTGCTGCCCTTCAAAGACTTCTGGGGCCGCATAAGGGGGACTGCCACACCATGTTGCCAGCAGTTCACCAGTTTTAAAGAAATTTCCAAAACCGAAATCTATTGGGATAGAAATCAATGTTACTTTCCTTTCTGCTCCCAAACTACACTGCATTTCTCAGTAAACAATTTTATAATGTGGGACTACTATGATCTAATATATAAAGGTGAGGGCAACATCTATCTTGTAGTATTTCCCTAGTAATTATCACAATGATAAACTAATAATAAATAATGAACATTGCTGAATAAATGCATATGTAAATTGAGTTCTCCACTCAAACAGAACATGTGAGAGATAGGAAGATGACTTTAAACTATGGTTTTTGTTGTTGTTTAGACACAAGATCTCACTGTGTGGCCTGGGCTGGCTTTGAACTCACTCATCATTTTTCTGCCTTGCTCTCCCAAATGTTGGGCTTATCTATAGATGTGAGCCACCAAACCCAGTTCTTAAACCATGACTTTTTTCTTTTTTGGCTGAAAGTTCTATTTGTGTGGACAACCACAATCAAAATACAAAATTTGATTATTGTAGAATGTAAGTTACTTGGTTACTTGATGATTACTAATGGACTTTTAATTCTGTATCGTCTATAAGAGCTGAACGAGTAAAACCCAACTAAGTAGCAACATATACCAGCTTTTGAGGCAACTGGGAATTTTTAAGTAATAACTCTTTAAACGTTGATCTGTACATCCTACTAGAAGCAGATATGCATCTGAATATCTCGTTATTAACAAATGATAGCATATTACCTGGCCACAGGCCACCTATCACCACTATCACTTATATGTCCATTTCTAGAATGCAGTGGCATTATACTTCAAAACGCCTTTCCCCTTATAATCTTAGTCACACTGAATCTACAGTTTGGATACCCAGAATGCACTCTGCAAACAATGTACTCAATGCTTTCAATATGCACATGCACACATGTTTTCAGGGTCCTTTGTCATAGATGTGTGTTCACCCTTTTAAAAGACTCAAGAAACAAATTCCTACTGTTGTACAAGTTAGGCCCATACTCTTATGCTTTGAGTCTTCACACTGAGAGGATCTGGCTCTCTACTAGCATATGCAAAGCACTGCATTCACAGGGAGCTTAAGCAAAGACTCAAAGAAGAGTGGATCCAGTCTCCACTGCCAGAGACTGGCTTTGGGACAGGGTTAGCACCTGTGAACCTTAGTTGCCCCACCTGTGAAGCTGCAATAATAACCATACTCAGATGGCAGCTGTTATGAGGAATCGATGCGCTAATGTAAACTCCTACTTTGTTTGTGCCTTGAGACAACACACATTAGTAACTTAGGGAAATACTCTCTCAGCCTGCTGACATAAGAACAGGTAGGCATCAGGCCGAGTAATGACTGTAACCATGTTATAGCTGCTTCATGGAAGAGAATAATAACTACAGAGTTAGAGAGAACTAGAACGGATTCACAGTTTGTCTCTTTCTAACTCCAGTGTCATAGGAAAGGAATTTTACTTCTCTGAAGCTTAGGTTTCCAAATTTATACCAGTGAGAATAATCAACCTCCCAGATAAGATGCAGTGAGGAGTAATGATTAAAGACGTAGAGTACCCAGAGCGCAGATGTGAAATGTCAGCACTGCTTCTGTGAGACCACTGTTATCATTATTGCCTTCCAGAGAAGGTCACGAGGAACGACACAGGAGGAGTAGAAAAACCAGCAGGAGCTTAAGGCTCAGGAGAGAAAGAAAGTGTATCTGGGAAAAAGCCTTAGCCCATGCCTGTGGGCCACACAAGGACGGGGTGCCAATCACATCCAGCTTTACAATGTAACACCACCCCAGAGATTTTTGTCTTCTTTATTTGAACTCAATGACTAGCCACTCCTGCCACCTGATAACTCATGCATAAAGATAGTTCTAATCTTTTAGAAAAACTATATTCTAGAATGAGCTAAGAATTAGATACTTAGCTGGGTGGTGGTGATGCACACCTTTAATCCCAGCACTCGGGAGGCAGAGCCAGGCAGATCTCTGTGAGTTTGAGCCCAGCCTGATCTACAGAGCAAGATCCAGGACAGGCACCAAAACTACACAGAGAAACCCTGTCTCAGAAAAACCAAACCAAACCAAACAAAAAAAGAATTAGATACTTAAATCTACTTTAAGAGTAAAAGGTTAATTTCCTTAGAAAGACTCCAGAACAACCAAACTCCAGAACAGATGATTGGAGAGCCTGAGGTAGGCACAGTGATGAGTGCATTTTAAACCACAATGGCAAGATGAGTTTTTCAGTATATGTCAACTGAAGATACTCTCCATGATAAAAGTTTCAACGTCTCAAAGAGCCAGACAAAGTGCTTCACTTGGAACTTCCACATACCCCAGTGACATCATCTCTAAGGAGGGAGGACACAAGCCTGTTGGGAAGACAGCTTGCCCTGTGTTCTTGAGGTTATTCCATTGGTACATTTCTTAGCAAGACAGTAAGAACTGAGGAAGAATCACCATGTCTAGGTTGGTCCTGTCTAACATAATTTGTACGGATTGGGCAGATAAAGCATCCTGTTCAGTCACAAGAAGGTGGAACTAAATGGACGCTTGTGTTTTCTAGGTATTCAATTCTGTAGAACAATTAGAGCCACATTAAATGGGAGCCAGGTTCACTACGCTATCATAGAACTATACCCGTCCACATCCGAGAACCTTTGCAGAGCACTTCAAAATTGTGTATTTGGTGACCTGCTAAGTGTGTTAAGATTTAAATAGAAAAAGTATATATTGTCACTGAAACAGTGTGTACTCAGTGTGTCAGTGAGGGCCTCATGAATGCAAGAAAAGCTACAGGTGCAGCCCATGACTTCATGTCTTTTAAAGGGGCTTTATCACATGTTATGTGGTAATCTAAGCTCTTTGAGGAGTCTTTAGTAAAGCAATGTGGAAGACTTACTTCAGGAGAAAGTTAAGCACTTGTGAGAGATGATGTGGCTGACTATTGCACTGCAGACATGGACCAGAAACCAGGTTTAACTACATCCTTACATCCTTCCCTGACACAGGGAAGTGTAGTGTAGCTAGAGTTTTCCTGCCTGGCCCACAGTCAGGACAAATCTCTCTCACCTGCCAGTCCCACAGCCACTCAGACCCAACCAAGCAAACACAGAGACTTATATTGCTTACAAACTGTATGGCTGTGGCAGGCTTCTTGCTAACTGTTCTTACAGCTTAAATTAATCCATTTCCATTAATCTATACCTTGCCACATGGCTCGTGGCTTACCGGCATCTTCACATGCTATTTCTCATCGTGGCGGCTGGCAGTGTCTCTCTCATTCAGCCTTCCACTTCCCAGCTTTATTCTCCTCCTTGTCCCGCCTACACTTCCTGCCTAGCCAATGGCCAATCAGTGTTTTATTTATTGACTAATCAGCAACACATTTGCCATACAGAACATCCCACAGCATTGTAGCTATTTGTGACCAAGTTAAAAACTGCCAGGTTACGCCGGGCGGTGGTGGCGCACGCCTTTAATCCCAGCACTCGGGAGGCAGAGTCAGGCAGATCTCTGTGAGTTCGAGACCAGCCTGGGCTACCAAGTGAGTCCCAGGAAAGGCGCAAAGCTACACAGAGAAACCCTGTCTCGAAAAACCAAAAAAAAAAAAAAAAAAAAAAAAAAAAAAACTGCCAGGTTAAAGAAATGGCAAGGAGCCGGGCGGTAGTGGCGGCGGCGTATGCCTTTAATCCCAGCATTTGGGAGGCAGAGGCAGGAGGATCTCAGTGACTTCAAGGCCAGCCTGGTCTACAAAGTGAGTTCCAGGACAGCCAAGACTGTTACACAGAGATACCCTGTCTCAAAAAACCAAAAAGAATTGGCAATGAAAAGGCATTTTAAAAAGCCATTTATATTTCTTCATAGAAATCTAGATAATTTTCTTCATTCATAACCTATTGCTTTCTGTAAATGGCATACAGTGAATGAGGTAAAGGGTGAGCACGTACATGAAACAGAAACATTCAGGATTTCTGATTACCATTTACTAAAACAGAATGGACTATACAACTGCCCTTCAGTACCTCTGTGGGATTGATACCCACAGTGGGTACCAAAATATGAATGTTCAGGTCCCTTATATAAAATGGGGTAGTATTTGCATACAACCCCCACACCTCCTCCTACACACTTTAAATCATCTCTGGATTATGTATGATACCTACAGTACAGAGGCAATCTAAATAGTTGCTATATTTAATTGCTTAGGGTATAACTGTAAAACCACCATCACCAACCAACAACACAACTGGGCACAAGTATAGCAGAGTTGCAACCTGCCTAGGCCTATCTACATAGCACCCATGAGCAATATTTTCCATCTGTGCTTCGGTAGATCCCAGGATGTGGGCCTTACAGACACAGGGCCTACTGAGTTCCCATTTCATCATCCTGCCCACTTCTCTTGTCTCTTCACTACACACATGAATGCTCTATGTGTGTGTTGTGAGCCACTGGAGACAGCCCAGAGCAAAGTCTCACAACAACTCAGAATAGTTACAGACTCCATGATCACCGGCTCTGGGCAATGAGTAGGGAACAATCACGTGGGCAGTCCTCTCTCTGATGCAGACTCAGATTTCAGGCCATGTCAGATCAGAGGATTAAGGGGGAAAATGTTTCCTTTCTAGTATGGCCTCATTTCTATTTTTAAAATTTCATTTCAAAATATTTGTTTGTTTATATGTAGAGGCACGTGCATGCCATGGCACAGATGTGGATGTCAGACGACAACTTGTTGGACTTTCCTTCTACCATGTGGATTCCAGGGGTTCAACTCAGGTCATCAGGCTTGTCAGCAAGCCCCATTATCCATGGTGAGCCATCTTGCTGGCCCTGAATCTCACTTTTAAAATGCCAAATATAAAATAATACATATTTATGGACTACAATGTAGTATTCTGGTATGTTTGTATTGTTCAATGGCCAAATCTCACTAATTAAATCTATCACCTCACTAATTACAATTCCTCTGTGATGAAGAGATGATAACTACTGTATCATTCACTTGTAAATATTTGACTCTTTGAGCAACAGC